AGTTACTTACTAAATTATGATCACATAATAAACACATAATCACATAAATGATTATCATTATATTATTATTATTATTATTGTTGTTGCTATTGCTATTATTATATTAATATTATATTATTATTGTTATTATTATAATTATATCACTATCATCATCATTATTATTATTATTATTATTATTATTATTGTAGACATAGGAGCTGCTGTCTCCCACGAGATCTGGTTTGTATGCTCCGCTCATTAAAGCATCCATACGCGGCACATCTTTTCATTCACAAATCTTCTGTCAGAAGCTCGTCTGCTGATAACATTAAGTAGAATTTGTATTTGGGTAGTAAAACCAGCATTTTTAAAATATCCAAGCACCCTGTATCATAGCTACATGTGTGACGTTTTTAACAAATCAATACGTTTGGAAATCAGAAATCAAAATTCAGCGAATAATTCTACTTTGAGATTGAGGAGTTCCTCTTTCCTTCGTAGGTTGATGCACTGCTGCCTCTGCTAGCCCTGTTCCAAGATGGCCGCCCTGTAGGCACGCCGCTCTAGTGGGCTGCAGCAGTCGATGCGGCGTCTATGTATATATTAAATTCAATTCAATTCAATTCAATTTTATTTGTATAGCGCCAATTCATAACAGAAGTTATCTCAGGACACTTTTCAAATAGAGCAGGTCTAGACCGAACTCTTATATATATAATATATATATATATAATATATATATGTCTATGGTCTTACCCATTGTTAATGATTTCTTGTGATCATAATTTAGTAAGTGACTTCCACCATTTTGTTCTCCTCTCTCTTCGGCAGTGTGGTGTAATTTCCACTGGAAGATGAAATTTAAAGGACCAGTGTGTAGCATTTAGTGGCATCTAGCGGTGAAGTTGCAGATTGCAACTAACTGAACACCACTTGCATCTGTTCTTGACAACCGTTCTTGACAAGTGGTTGTTGTTACAGGTTCAGAATCATTATTGTGTTTCCTGTTAGCATCAAACAGGCAGCTGATAAAATATAGATATAAATGTATTTAATTCCTCTTGAGGGCGACATTTTGTTTGTACCAGTGTTTGTGGCAATACATCCAACAGTTTTTGAGACAATTCACTCACACCATCAAATGTCAACCAACGTCATTAAGATACATCTTTTAGGAACAATGAACAAGATTTTGTGCCAAGCTATAAGGTACGTGTGCAGATATTTCAAAGGGTAAGTGAAGGGGATCACCAGAGTCAGTAAGCTTCATTGTCCTCTAGGGAATGGGGCTCAGTACAATTCAGTAGTTGTTGAGATATTTCAGTCTGGACCAAAGAAGACTGACTTAAAGTCGTATGTGCATCAGGCAGGTTATAGGTGGTCAGTAAAAAACACATTTAAACATTTAAATAAGTTTTTTTTTTTTAAATCTAATTTCTTTCATGTAAACTTTTCCATCAAAGCCTTACTCTGTCATCTCCTGGCTGCCATTTTTAATACCCATGTAACGATGGGCCAGATAATGTCTGAAGTATAATTGTTCACCAGGAGAGGTAGAAACATGCAGTGCCATTGTCTGTCTGCCTTTTGTAGTTAGTTAAAAGGTGGATAAATAAGATGCAATTTAGAGACTTTTAAGACATGGGTTTTTTTTCTCTCCTGCCTTAATCACGCTGAAATTACCTCTGGGTGAGGGCTGTCATTAAAATAGAAGAGGCACTTGCTTCTTGGATGCTCAGGGCGAGCCTGAAGCTCGCACTAATAGCACAGTGCCTCAGTGGCACTAACCATTTAACGGGCCCTGTATTATCCTGCTGTGCATGTAGTCACGTCTATACCACGCACTCACCGAGGACGTCTTATGATGGTCTATTTGTAGTTTGTCACAGCTGTTTACTGTGATAAATACTTTGAGAGAAATTGTTCATGTCTTCCAAAGCTGCAGAGCAGTACTAAATGTATTTTCAGCCCTACATGAACACTGATGACCCAGTTTCTGCTCTGACACTGCTGCAGCTCAATCAATATTACCCCCAACACAAGTTTCATTTTTTGCTTTCACTTCACGGTAGAAGGCAAAGTGACTCCCGCTGTACGTGCGCCATTATTGCCCCTGCTTCCTGTCTCAGAGGCCCAGGTTTGGCCCTGACTATATGTCCCTCAGGGTGGCTTCTGGCCCCAGGCTAGAGGACCCAAGAAGTGACGTGGCCAACAACCTCCAGATGTTAGCCTGCATTAGGGCCTGACAGCTTGTCATGTCAACGCCTACGCTACCACACAGTTCCATCACCTCCCATCTGCTGCCCAACACCTCCTGAGGGAGAGAGTGGGGGGGGGGCAGATACAGCGACTATGAGACTTTACTGTCCTTCAGCCCAGATAGGTTAGACATTCATCACTACATTAACAGATAAGCCAGGCGTGTTAGCTTCATACTTGATGATATGTGAAGTGTAGGATATGTGTACATATCAACATCAGATTTAATAAGGGATGTCTCCATCTGAGGCAAACATGTCCGTCATTTGTAATCCAGCACAGATAATCTCTTTACATCAGTATTTAGGACAGTGATTCTACATAATTCAACATTCTCAGAGTGTCAGACACTGTCAGTCATTAGTCATTAATCTGGCCCTTGAAATGTGCAATACTCTGATGGATGTGCAATACACCTATCCAGTTCTCAGCATTATAAGTACTCATCACTGTTATTTGCTGTATTATACGTATTTTCTATTTTCTATATATTGTTATGAATTGGCGCTAAATTGAATTATATACTGCCACATAATATATATATTTTACACCCTCTTCTATTTTTCTATTTTTTGCATATATTGTTGTTATATTGGAATTTAATGCACATATTTTAACATTCTTATTAACTAACTATTTCTTATGATATCTTGTTTAGCAACTTGAGCCACTATAATGCAAGCAATTTCCCCCCTGGGGATCAGTAAAGTATTTCTGATTTCTGATTGGATGCTGTTAGGCATCAGAAGCAGTCATACGGAGCTAATTGGTCAATAAATCCATTAGTTGATTGACAAATAAAATTTGTTTTAAAAAATCTGCAACAATTATATTTATTAGTTAACTTTCATTAAAATGATGAGTAATGAGTAAAAGTGCCAAACCTACACTGGTTTCAGCCGCTCAGGAATCATACCATTGTAAACTGAATATTCGGGTTTAGGCCAGAAATTTGAAGACGTCAGCTTGTGCTCCGGGAACTTATAACAGGCTTTTTTTCTGACATTTTCTGGACAAAAAGACTAATCAGTTAATGGAGAAAATAATCAGAAGATTAATTAATCAAAATAATATTTAGTTGCAGCCTGATAAGTAAGATATACAACCTCCTCTGGATGTGACAATTAAGAAACATGGAGATTGCAACCCTTTGTTCATGATTCCACATCTCTATTAAAACTGGATATAAAAAACAACATATTTACACAATATGACAAATAAGGAAAATATGTGATTTCTATTTATACCGTGCAATTATCATTAATTGTGGACCCCAGGAAGACTAGCTGTGCTTTAATAATTAAACAAATAAATCCTGTGCCGTTATAATTATATTTATTTATACCACGCAGCTATCCTCCCTGATGGCAATTATCCAGTTTATAAGGCAATATTTTTATAGTTCTTTTGCGGGTATTACAATATGTGCATGTATCCTCTGCAGTTATTCTATGGATTTGATTATCTTCTTCTCTGTGTGTACCATGAAGGAACGACAAACTCTCATTTCCTTATATAATCTTGTGTTGTATAATGATGAATACATTTCCTTTGATTGTTTGATGCATCTGTATAAGTGAGAGGTGTATATGGTGTATATATCTTTTATTTGTTTGCATTTTTATTTTATTTTTATTTTTTTCCTACTTTTTTTCCCCTCTACTATTGAGTCTTGAGCTGCTGTAACAAGTCCATTTTGCCCGCTGTGGGATCAATAAAGTCTATCTCAAAGTACATTGAAAAATACATTGTAATTAAGAGATTTAATGTTGACATACAATGTGTATAATCTTATAGAATGGACATTGCTCAGCCGCAATAGCATCAAATGATTTGCGCTAAACTACCTGCTTGACCTGTGAGCTGACTGTGAGATGGACCAAAAAGAAAATAGCTTGATGTTTGGCTCCCCCTCCTGGCCATAAAGAGTAACACCATGTACAGTATATGAACAATCTCAGACCTTGCAGGGAAAAACTGATCTGAGTTATCACCAAAAAAGATTCTACTGTAACTGACAGCCTCTTTCGTGTTCATGTGCTTGCACTTCAAAGTCTTCTTAATTTGTGCTATTAAACCTAAAAAATAAAACAGTGGACCTATATGTCAGCATTTGGTTCACTTGTGAAGAAAAGTAGATTGTCCAGTAGAACAATGGCCAAGCACCAGGGACAAGAATGTACGCTAATGTTTTAATATGATATGAAATATCCTTAATAATTTGTCACCCAAGCAGGGATTGTCAGTATAATAAATGATAGAAAATGGGTCCCTCATGGAAAACGGTTGGGAATCACTGCCTTAGGTCAACTTTTTCACATCAGGGACCCCTAAACTGACACAAATAAGACCATGGAGCCCTGTTTTATTTTGTCCCAGGGTCCCCTATGTGACAGGAATTTAACTTTAAGAGGTATTATTCAGAGCTCGACCGATATTATCGGCTGATATCAACCTATCACAGACATATCGTGACAGTATCACTGCAAAGTTTATCCAGCAGAGTGCGCTGTGAGTTGCTATACTGTGGCAAGCAAGAGTAAGAGAGAAGAAGCAGCTCTCAGCAATGTCAACTAGAATTGGTTCACTGTGTATATGTTCATTTATTTAACTCAGTTCTTTAATAAAGTTATGTGTTTAAGAAAGCAGCCTTCTGAGCACCTTAGCAGAGTCATATCAGTGAGCAATCCACATTCATAAAATTCACTATATGGGGCACCATATTGCTAATCTGTGGGAAAAAAGAAGAGGATGCAAGAGGATTTGGTCAGGAAAAGATAACTTTATTTAGTCTGGGATACATACTCTTGTTATATTTGATTACTTGTCAGATAGAAAACACAGTAGCTTTTCAAAATAAAAGCAAGGTCCATTTAATTAATTATATTTATTTATGGTTTTTAAAACACACTTCAATAAATATTTTTTTATATATATTTTACAAAAACATCAGTGAGTGTAAGAACAGTTGAAGGAACAAACACTGGATTAAAGGTCAGCGGTGAAGACACAGGCCAACACGGACACTGCAGATGCCACGGGTAATATAGAACTTAAAATACCTTTACACATTTCCAAGTTTTTTACACAACTTTGTCCACATCACTACGACAGGTATAAACAACTCTCCTATTATTCAAACGATTGTTAAGCACTATTTGACCACTGCTCTGCAAAGATAGGTAGTATCACACACACTGAAGAGCACAGAGAGAGCTAGCTCTAGGTTAAGACACATGGGTAACAGAGGTACAACGCACCCCAATGCAACACCCCTGCCCCCTCCCCTATTTAGCATGGCTCTGTCTCCACTCCCATCCTTCAGACTCATAATGGTATCACAAAGGTACAAAGGGAGGTCAAGAAGAGCACACTCAGAGGTTGGGGTGCATCACTGGGTTACAAATGAGATACAATATACTGAACAGCATAGTAAAACACTGTAGAGTGCCTTCTGCAGAGGTAAACATATCAGGTAAAGTAGGTGCAGTGACATATGAAGCAGAGTGTGTCAGAGGCATGGAGAGGAGAAGAAAATGCTTTGTACCTAAAACCATATTTCTGAACATTTAAAGGATCATACCAGTGTTTCTGCAAGTTCATTTACTACAAATCATGTATGCTTCGCCTTACTGCTGACTGTTCTCCAAAACCTTTAGGGACTTCAAACTTGCTTGAGGACGGTGATCCATCTCAGTGAACACCATGCTTATGAAAGTTACATTATCACTGTGCGCTAATGCCAACGGAAAGCACGGAATCATTTGAAAAATCTGCTGCCGTGGGGAAATCATGAGCCGTTGAGACAGTCTGTTTGTCATATTGTCAGAAATTCAGACCCAGACAACAAACGATGCGCAAGAAATGCCAGAAAGATAGTTTGGTAGCTTCATTTGCATCACCACAATGTGATACTGTAACAAAAATAAACCTGGGCATGATGTTCACTGAAATGGATTTACTTTTAGAGTCTCTGCAAGCTGTCTTTAGTGGCGTTAACTTGACCAATAGCTGCCTGGAAGGTATAAAAGCACATTCGATCTAATACAACTGTACGCTTTGCTGTTGCAAGTACACAGTAAATGATTGAAGTAAGTAGGTTAAATCATGCAAAAACACAGGTATGCTCCTTTTGGCTCATCCAGCTACAATGTAGTGGCTCAGGCGTTCTACAATAAACTGCAAGTCCCAACTAAAACAGCAAGCTGCCATTTTTCTCACTCATTACATGTTGCTTTCATTTTAAGCAAAACTGTCATCATTAATCTTCTTCAGAATCAGAATCAGAAATACTTTAATAATCCCAGGGGGAAATTATTTTCGTTACAACACTCCAGATATAGAAACTTCTTCTTTGTAGGGATGCACCGATTTATCAGCCTAACATCGGTATCAGCCGATATTTGCTTTGTTGACTGACATCGGTCTATCGGCAATAGGCTCAGGAATTGATAAGATCTTATTAATATCAATACCACTGTTGGTTCTGCTTATCTGTCCAATTCTTTGTTGATTCCCTTATTGATTCCTGATCAATTTTCTGATTTGAAAAAAGTAGGCCTACACAGGTTTTAATTTTCTGAACACAGTGTAGAAACAGAGTAGAATTTTAGTAGCTTGAGTTTCTTTGTGAAATGAAGCCACACTTTGGATGAACGGAATTGATAAGCTCTGTGGCATACGATTCTGATGGATTGGACAGTTTTGTTCTAAACTGAAACCGGTTCTTGATTCCCATCCCTAATCTGCAAATACGATGGCATTCACCGATATCAGTGGACAATGTTTATCTAATGTGTTGCATCCATTTTGCGCTGGCTAAATGTTGATTTGGTAATTTCCAACTTGGATACTGGAGAAATAATCACATCCATTTTCCAGCACTGGCAGAAATTGCATGCAAATACTAATTCGTAACAGCACGGACAGAGAGCGGCTCTTCAGCACTGTGTCTCACATCCTGGATGAGCATAGAAACTGAGGTGCAACAAAGCAGAGATACTTATCTTTGTAGATTTCTTTGTTTCCCTGGCACAAAAGGGCAAATAACTAACAACAAAAAGACATCGGCTATCGGCCAAATTGTTATTTTAAACATCGTATCTGCACCGAATTTCCCGATTGGTGCATCCCTACTTCTTTGTTAATACAGTATTGACCTAATGAATCATTCGGAGAATGAGGTTTAACTTAAAGATCTAATTACTGCCACCTGACCCCTCCACCGCTTCAAACCCTGTGACCTCCATCTTCGATGTATCTCCTCAGGTACAGCACAGTAAGTCCCATCACCTGTTCTCTCTTTGACCTACTTGTACTCCTCATATCAGCAGGCATGTAAACCGGAACACAGAAAGCTAATACTGTGGTTTCTTTTACTGGAGCTGATGCATCATTAATGCAGAGCAATCCACCACTGCAGGTAAGCAGATCTCTGACAGTAGATGCATGCATGGTCCTATAAAAACTGCAGTTTTGGTGCACTTGAGCGTGCCTCTCGGGCAGTGGAGATCCTCATAATAGCTCCCGAAGCTGCTGTCTGCTTCAGTGCATTCAAGAGGACACATGGCAACTAGTTTGGCAGTGACTGCGTATGTAGAAGAACCAGTTTGCATCATCAGGCCAGGAATTAGGGCACCATGGTATCATGACAGACATGAGCACACCAGCATATACACACATCCCGGGCCTCCAGTGAGTCAGAATGTTATTAATAGACCAAAACAGCAGGTGCTGTCACTCTGTCTACAGCTCACATCCAATTATGAAGCTCTGCAGGTGTGCCCAGCCAACCACACTGCAATGAAAAGTTAATCCAACATCAGTCCCTTCTTCTTCTTTGCTTTCAACCTTTGCTCTCTCTTCAAAATATATCCTCTACTTTTAGAAGTGTGTGCCTTCTCAGACACAAAAACATGGAAATGTTATTAGGTCAGCCTCCTCCTGTGGCTGTGACTCAGTACATCAGCTCTGTTACTCTCCACCTGGAGCCTCCAGAAAAGCAGCAGGAACAACAGGGTGGAGAAAATTGGAGGTATGAAAGAGGTTAATAGTATTTAAAAAGGAAGATGGATGAAAGGCAACAAAAAAAAAATATGGGATGTCATTCAGAAAACACAGTAGTCCTGCACAAGCACTTAAGAGGGGCTATACAAGTTAATAACACTCAGATTCGTCCCCGTGTTTCAGTTTTTCTCATTACATCCTGTCTACTGCAAAATGCCACCAGCTGGGTTGATCAGCCGGTTCCGATGTTTAGTTTTGATCTCCGTCTCTCGTCAGTCCACCTTCCCGCCTCCCTCAAAGGGCAGGATAAACATTCAAAATGTCTTCAATTCAAAAGTGCCCTCAAGTTGCCTGTTAGCCTGTCGGCTGCGTTGTTTAAACAGTTTGTTCTGTCAGCTGCAGTAGAGTTAGGTGGAAATGTGTTCAAATCCACTGTTTAAAAACACCATGATACACTGGATTATGAATACCAGTGAAACAAATTCACGATTTTCAAACACACCTGCCTTGCCTTGCATCAATCATGTCAGATGAAAACCTTTAACTCCAAAATGTTGACTTCTTTGGGACTGAAAAAAACAGCTTTTGTTAAGCTGGACGATGATGCATTTTTGGCATTTTCCAAAAAGTTCTGAGACAATCCTTCAACATTGAACGTGCCATTTTGTTCACTAGAAAATTCCCACATAGCAAAGTTGAATCTGGCCCGGTGAGGGCCCACACAGCCCACTTACACTTGGGCCCAGATATAGCAATGAATTACGTTTAAATGTAATTGTATTGTGACATCACCCATTGGTTTGTGACGTACCATTCTGAAGTCTCGAGTTCGCCATTATGGCAATGTTGTTTTTTCCGGAGACAGCGTTGATGACATACTGCTGCACTCATTGGCTACGCTTGGTTTTGACTTGTCCGTCCAAGAAAACAAGGCAGCTTGTGTCGTGGTGGAGGAGGGTTGGTCATTGAGAAATAGTCAACTCAGTAACAGAATCTAGATTCATATTTATATTTATTATTATACATTGTCAGTGGTTACAGTCCACACGTGGGCCTGATCTGGTAGCCACATACGCTAGTTCCAGATGTTGACTAAACCTTAACCAAGCCACTTTATTCATAAACACTTGCCATATTTGGCCGACAGAGAGCTGATACCGCCAAGAATAAGGACAGCTATGGTCATACAGTTGGCTGAGATATGGACAGTCATGGATGACCAGATCTGGCCCACATGTGGCTCGTAATTCATAGCTGTATTATATAGGCCAGATCAGTGTTGCTATGTGGGTTGTGACAACATCCAAGGAGGTAAATGTATTCTGGTTAGCTTAGTCCTGCGTGTTGCTTAGCATCACTTTTGTCAAGTTTGGTTCAAACGCAGCATTGCTAGATACACAAATACAAAAGCTGAGTTAAAAGAACGAGTTTCAGGTGTTTTCCTGCGTTAAGAAGAAACGCACGGTTACACTCAAAGGCCTAGAGGAACGCCATCACTGACAGGTAAGCTAACAACTATGAGCTATGATCAGTAGCACCCGCTGGACACCATTTTTGTCATTTTTTTCATATACATTTAAAAGCGTCACTGGGCTATAAAGTTAGTTATATAGTTTTCAGTCCTTCAGTCAGCACACATTGAGCTATATAGCCTTTTCTTTTAACTTACCACTATTATTATTGCTACATCAATACTTCAGCAATGCTGCAGGAATCTGTTCTTCCCACACACAAACACACACGTACAGACTCTCCATTACCCCACATGTCGGTATAGTGAGGAGGTTATGTGATCCCACACGTACTACTGAAGACAAGTAGTACTACAGGATCAACACACATCCTCAGCCTCTCCAATTACCGTGTCCCTTCTCCACTAAGCTTTATTCCTCGTGTTTCAGCTGCCCCCCCTCTCCAAGTGAACATGACAGACTCAAAGGCCGTCAGGTGGAGATAACAAGAACCTGTGTGCGTCCCTTCACACAGTATGTATAAGAATATAGCAGTTGGATGAGGAAATGTGTGTGCTCGAGGGGATCTTTATGTACTCTGGTTAAAGTTTAGAAAGTCTGCAAATCCTCAAAACCTGTACCTCTGATGGGTCCTTGTGGATGTTTTGTATGTGTCAACTAATCTGTGGAGTCATTCAGGGTACAGGCCTTTAAACAGAGCAGACGAGAGTCGATGTCTGGAGAGCACTCAATTAGATAAATTGCTAAAAGTTTGGATTGAAGTTCAGCCAATCAGGTCCTGGAAAAGGTTTTGCGTTAATGTCAAGACCGTTTATTGTATAGGTAACTTTATGTGACATTTTATTACTCCTTTAGGAATTTTTTTTATGTTAAGCTGCTCCAAAAATTCAATTCCATTAAAGCTGCAGTTGGTAACTAAGTGAAAATTACCATTAGCAGCAGTAGAAGGAGCCAGAGGAAGATGATTTTTTTAACACGTTATCTGTCTCATTTACTACTGTCAGGATATAGTGAAAGTTTCAGCAAATATAACAAAAAGTATTTTTTATAAAAGTTACCTACTGCAGCTTTAATTTTTTTTAATAACATCTAAAAACAAAAACAAAATGACCATAAAACTTATGTGAGTTTTAAAAAGGTAGTATTACATTAAAATCATTTAACATTATCCCCCCGTTTTTGTGGGTCACAACCTGCAACACCATAAAGACACACACAGACACACACACACACACACACACACACACACAGGTAATCTTGTTGCCTTCCCAAAGGGACGAGCTAAACTGCTGATCTGTCCCCTCAGCTATACATCCCTTCCGCTTGCGTTCCACCTCTGAAATAAAAAAAACCAACAGGGCCGTTTATATCAGCTCCAATACAGCCCTGTTGTCACAAATTATTCAGGTGTGTATGATTTCCTGTATAATGAGAAAAACCCTGCAGAGTTACAATGTTGAGTCACACACTTCCTTTCAGAAAAATAAGCAGGAGCCACCAAAAGTTCAAGGATCCGCGTGGAGAGTCTGTCTTTGCTTTTTCCACCACGGAGTTACGACATTCATGAAAAGCCTCCCTGCAGGCCGGACCCTCAGTGATAAATGGATGAACTCACCGTAAGGCTTTAACAGATATACTGCTCTGGTCTAGGCTAGTCTAGACACTTACTGCACTGGATAAAGGGATAGGAAATTCTCTCCTGTGGTTTACTTTTCTTTTGCTGTCTTTCTCGCTCTCATATCTCCTCATCTCTGTTATCCTCTGTAATTACTCGGTCCGCTTCCTTCTCCTCTTTGGCTGCATGCTGGACCCAGGTGGGGAGGGGGGGTGTCAGATGCGTCCGTTGCCGTGTGTGCTGCTTCGGCGGCCAGACAGGGGGTGGGAGGAGTAGTGAAGCTCGGCTGTGGAAAATGTGGAGGACGAGGAGTTGGAGGAAGAGGAGGAGGAGGTGAGTCCGCAGGCTTCACAGGCCAGAGCCAGCTGCCTCAGGGCATCCAGGGAATCCATCTTAGCTCCCCGTAACAGATCGCTCTGACCCTGCAGCACACAAGGAAACGTATGTTTGACATATGTATGCATTGCAGTACATTTCCAGAAAAGAAGAAGAAGAGAAAAACACCAATGCTATAAAAGAGAGTTTAGGTGCTATATTTGCTCCCTAGTACCTTGAGCACAGTGATGTTCCAGGTAAAACTCTCCACAGCTTTGCTTAACTTGCGTCCCTTCAGTCCCTCCTTCTCCCCAAGACGAGACAGATCCTCATGGAAGTCCATGCCTGCAAAACACAAACAGCATCGGCTTAGAGGAGTGGGCAGGCATCAACAATTCAAATTCAGGTGAAATATAAAAGTCAAGTGTGAACATCAAATGAATAAACACCAAATGTCTAGGGGCAAGAGTCAGCAACATGTCTTGATGGGTTGGTTGTCTACTGGATTTACATATTTACACAAAAACAAAGTGCCGTCCCTCATGACATTTACACTGGCAGTTAAAGGTCAGGAGTTTTCTAGGCAGTGAGAGGGTCTAATAATACATAGGTCTGGCTGTGGGAGTAGACACTGTCAATGCTTGCTGCACAATTGTCATACTGGTGCATTGAGTGCTGGGTAGTAACTGTTTAATAGAGCATTATCATGAAGAAAGGTTGAATCATTTTTAAACTTGAGTCAAGTAATCAAGTAATCTTTTACAAAGTAATGATAATCTAATTACACATTTCTAAAATGTAATCTGGGCGGATTATAGTTACCTATTTTTTGTTATCTGATTATGTAATCCTGATTACATGTAACCCTCTGGGCTCTATAGATCTTGATAGGAGAATGGGGATTGCACAATGCAGGATCAGAGTTGCCACACACGTGCACACCAGTGATTGGTCGACAGACTCAGCCCATCATTGTGAGATTGCCAGTGGACAGCACAGAAAAATGGATGAATAATCACAGAACACATTCAGTGTTCTTTGATTTGACCAACTGTACATTTTTTAAATGTGATGATGATGAAGAGTATTCTTTTTTCTGGAATCTTTTTTTTTTTACCTTATTTATTCAGAGAAGTTTCAGTGAGAGGAGAGGAGAGAAGTCCAGGAACGCCATTATCACATTTGGACAATTACAATTATATTCACACCTGGCCACTTTGATTTTATCCAAAAGTACCAATAGACTACATTTATTTTGTAATCCAATGGATTATGTAACTAATTCCAAAAATACACCTTTTTCACACCAGCCATTTGAATATGAAATAGTTTGTTAAACACAGGTGTTACCAATGACACTAATAATAATAATACATTTATTTTATACAATGCTTTAAAAAGGTACTCAAAGTCACTACATGCTAACAAAAGACAAACAACAGAAACAGCAAAGGCAACATCAGTAAAAAAACAAAACACAAACACTTTAATAACTATAAACCGGAGAAGCAAACAGCATTAAAAAAATAGGTGAAACAATAAAAAGGAGAGAAGCAGGTTAATTAACTAATCAAGGTTCCATTCAGGTGTTCCATTTAGGTCAAACAGTGTCAGGGAGCTGCTATTGTGCGGGTTGCTGCTACACTAAATGGAACAGAACCTTAATTAGTGTCATTGCTAACACCTGTGTTTACCCTACTATTTCATGTCAAAATGGCTGCCGTGAAAAAGGATGCACACTGGATGCATTACATCTGAAACTGTTTAGAAAAGTCGAAATATTGCAGTGTGTTAGGAGTGCAGATTTACTGTAAACAACATTACAAACAGATACTTGCTGGAGGCTTTTTGAAAATGCGTCTCAATGTATCCTCTTTTCAAAAAGTACCAAAAAGGCAGGGCCTTGGTTTGTCCCAATTAGAAGTCCATACTGACGGAGTGCGAGACTCACCAGAACGTACAGTATCTCCAGCTGTGATGCTGTTTACTGACTATTTACATTCTCCGGGGAGTCGCCCTCATTAAGTTCAGTTGTTTGATGTTCAAGTCAAACTTGCTCCTTCAGTGGATTCTTAGGAGATCCAGTACAGCCGTTTCATTCATGAGCACTCATTAAAACCACAAAAGTCACATTCGTTGTGCACTGTACCTTCTCTCTGCACCTGGGCGATCCTCTCCTGGACAGTGTCTGCGTTCTCAATCAGCTGTTTCTGGGCGGCAATCATCTGAACAGGCAGGGAGAAAGCACTGTTAAAAACCCACTGAGGTATAAGGAGTGTTGAAGTTTTCCAAAAGAATACCAAATATGTCGTAGAGAATGGTTTATTTAACGGTGCATCCATAAAATACATCACAGCTGAAACGATTAGTCAATTAATCCAGAAAAAATGTATCAGCAACTATTTTGTTCATTGACTTATTGAGTAATTTTTCAAGCTGGTTCCGGCTGATTCCGGTTTCCCAACAGTAAAGATGTACTGCTTTTAAACCTAGTTTATAAATGGATTATTTCAGAGTTTTGAAATGTGAATGCAAGATGTCACTTTTGAATCTCCGATGAAGATTTTTCACTATTGTCGTACATTGTTTAGACCAAGTGATTATTAATTATTAATCAAGAGTAGTAATTGGCAGATTAATCAACAATTAAATAATTAAATTCATTTTCTTTCAGCCCTACATTATGTGCTTTTTCTGATTATTTCTCTTAGCATAAGAATTTCATTGCTTCAGTTAAGGAACAAGCAGATAGAGCAAATATGTGGGACAATGAACAGTTTAAACTCAAATTTAAAGTGTGTAACATTTAAGAGGATCTACTGTCAGAAATGGAATACATTCATATTCGTGTATGTTTTCATTAGTGTATCATCACCTGAATAGGAATCACTGTATTTTTGTTACCTAAGAATGAGCCCACTCACATTCACACCTATGGCCAATTTATAGTCGCCATCCTGAGAGTAGAATCAACTTTATTGTCCCATATACAATCACACACAGTACAATGTATAGTGAAATGTATCCTCTGCATTTAACCCGTACTAGGAGCAGTGGGCAGCCGCTGTACAGTGCCTGGGGACCAACTCCAAATCTGAGCCAGTCAAGGGCACTGACTGGAGAACCCTAACCTAACAGACCTGTATTTTGTATTTGTCTATTCATTTGTAAGTTTTACAATATGTGTATGTATGTAGCGCAACACCAAAGATGTATAACTGGTATAGAGAGTCATGGGTAGCCTGATCAAAATAATGAGGGCATCAAGGGACAGCCTGATTGTCTGTGGGAAGGAAGGAAGGAAGGAAGGAAGGAAGGAAGGAAGGAAGGAAGGAAGGAAGGAAGGAAGGAAAGAAAGAAAGGACAGAGTACTGGCTACAGGGAGACAGAGAGACAGAGGAGGGTGAGTGAGTGATGACTAAGCCTCGTGTGCGCCCAGAAAGGCTGAAGAGGTGTGATGTACGACTGGAATTCACACCGACTGTGGCTTCATGACACTGACCTGCCGACCTCACACTCAAACATCATCAGCTCCACTGACACGCATCACCACAAAGCGATGGTTGGAAAGACGGCTCTCTCTGTACCGAGGTGTGTGTAGGTGTAATGGCTGAGTGCTAAAACAGGTGGGAGAGATCGGTCCTGATTTGATGCAAGAGGAGATGGAGTGGGAGGAGACACAGCTGGTAGTCAGGGGTGTGTGTGTGTGTGTGGGTTTCATGCATGTCACCTCAAAGTGTCTTTCTGCATATCTAATGCCTCAGGACAGTGTAACTGCGTGTGGGAGTGTGTGCACACTCTAATACAGTGTTGTGTATCACAAAGCCAGTTTAGAACTCACTGAGGGAATACTTGAGAAAGTTAGCAAAAGTCTGAGGTAAATAAGCAAATGAATTTGCACATTGTGTGTTTTATTGAACAAAGAGCACAGAGAGAGCTGCCACTGTGTGCTGAAACACTGACTAAATGATAAAGGCTGCCATTAATCAAGATGGTTAGCCACGTTAGCTAATATGCCTAAAGCCACGCCAACGTTAAAGGGCAATAATTTAGGAAGGCTAATTTACAAACGTTTGCTAAAATGGTGAATATATTAAACCAGGGGTCTCAAACTGCCGACCCAGGGGCCATTTTCAGCCCGCAACATTCTTCTTCTTTATGTTATTTATTCTAGGTGTTTCGTATCAGTTTAAACTATCCCTTCATATGCAGTTCAAATGAAAAGACAATTCTATTTTTTTTAAATGCACTTTGGTGTAAAATAATGGCAAAAGTCAAAGGGTCCCACTAATGTGTGCAAAAGCTGATAAGAAGAGAGCAGCTTTCAGGGCTTTATTTGTTCTTTGACTGCAGAAACCTGCTGTAGATGCAGTATGATGTTAAATGGAAATGGAAAACTAAAATATTTTCAGAATATTGCACTTGAATGTTGAAGTGGCCCTCCTATGAGATGACATTACCAGCAGTGGCCCCAAGACAATCAGAGTTTGAGACCCCTGTGTTAAACAGCTGCTTAACATTAGCATGTTAGCATACGGTTAGCTTCAAGTCCAAATTGAAAAAAATGGCTGATTAGCCATTTGCCCTCCAAGATTACCAGCATGGAATAGTTATTAGGTTGTTGTTCTAGGTGTAGCACTTTATCTGTATTGTATGTACTTTTAATTTGTGATATATTGTATAGTGAATATTGTGATTGGCTTATTTGTGATTAAATATTTATCAGGATGATGGTCCAGGTAAGTTTGGATCAGTACAGTATTGTATCAGACCTGTGTTATGGATTAATATTGTTGTGCATTGTATTGAGATTGATCAGTCTTTTCAAATGAAATTGTGTATGTTTAGAAGCCACTAGCAGCCTGTTAGCTGCCTGCTCCTAAAACCTACCTCCCAAAAACTGTCCACGATGGAAATAAGCCTTTGGGCGTTACTGTGTTTTTATCCTTTGATTTATGTATCTGGGGCAGCTCTGGCTAGAGGGGTCACTTTTATATTAATGATCAATACAGAATTTCAATCAATCAGCACAGCAATTGTCAGCAGGTTAACATGCAAAGTCCCACTATGAACAGCCTCTTTGCCAGCATAGCTGTAAACTCCAACAGCTCCACTGTGTGATGCAATAAGGAATTTAAAACTTTGAACCTAAAGAATAAATCTGTCAGTGTTAGCAGCATGGCTATAAAATGGCAAGTATGTCATTTGGCATGTTTGTTCCAGACTCATATGTCACAACTAGAAGGATGCAGAGGGCATCTAGTTTCAGACTGCAACAAACGGAACACCGCTGGCGTTTGTATGTGACAACCTGGCAATGAGAATGGGCTGTGAAGTGCGTAAGAGAAACTACGGTGGCTGTGAAACTTGCAAAAAACGTTGTATCTGACCCACAATATCTGTAGATATAAAAGGCTCATTCTAAGGTAGTAAAAACACAACAATGTATACACATAAAAAACATACCTATGAACATTATATTCCATTTTCATTTTAGACTGAATCAAAATATACCACTGAGTTCATGTTCTTTGTAATAAAGGAACATATCACCTCAAACTCTGAGCTATGAAAATAAGAGAGAGAGAGCAGAGGCTATAGTAGGTATACCCCCACCACATCTTTGTGCACACCGCTCTCACTCGTCTTACTGACCGTGTCGTAGGCAGTGAGCAGTTTGCGTGTCGGCTCAGAGAGGTTGACCAGAGGCTCCAGACATGGGTAGCCCTCCTTCAGCACCATGGCGGCCCCCATAGTGCCCTCAGGGCTCTGCAGCCTCGTGGCCAGGCTCTGGATGCACTGCTTCAGTTTGGCCACCATGGGGAGCCCACACTGCTCTTTGAAGCTGGCGGTGGTGCTCTGAAAAAACAGCGTGGTTGCAAAGACAGACAGACAGACAGACAGACAGAGATGAGGGGGAAGAGGTAAAATAGTATTAGATCAGATGTACAGTTCCAGCTGTAAAACTAAGCTGGGACAGGTCAGAAAGGGTGACACTCCACATACACACACACACACACACACACACACACACACACACACAGACACACACAGACACACACTTTCCCCCATCATCTGCTGTCTCTCTTGTGAATTAAATCAATATGGCAGTCATTGGTGCTTTTAATCCAGTGAAATCAGCCTTAGCTTAAGCGCATTTGGCAAAAGAGAAGACAATATGGTAGACATGTGGAGCAGAAAAATCATAGCATTTAGAGTGTTTTTAGAGTGCAGGTGTGTCAGGATGCAAAATCGGATCTGACCGGGACAAAAAAATAACAGTCATGTGTAAATCTGCTGAAATGCCATTTTGGGTCACTACATAATGAAGGCAAAAGATTTATTTTTGCACACACAAGCACCAGAATGGGAACCTCTTCTGTCACAATGAACGCAATTTGCCACCTGGCAGAGCCCCAACTGGACTAGCGATTATCACGCCCCACCTGTGCGGAAGTGTGAGTGTGAGTGTGTGTGTGTGTGTGTGTGTGTGTGTGTGTGTGTGTGTGTGTGTGTGTGTGTGTGTGTGTGTGTGTGTGTGAGAGAGAGAGAGAGAGAGAGAGAGAGAGAGAGAGAGAGAGAGACAGACATACAGGAACAGAGGCATGATGAATAATAACTGACTATGGCAGATGAGCCCACAGCTGGACTCATGGCAGAGTCACAGGGACAGAGAGGAGGACAGAGTTCAAGTCAGAGGGAAAGGACAATGAGATTGAAGCAGACAGATTAAAAGCTGTTTGTGAATGGGTTTTATGTGTGGGACTGTGGGACTGTTTGAGTGTGTGTGGGTTTGTGTGGGAGGGTGTCTGACTGAGTGACTGGGTGGGATTGTTTCAGAGGTTTGGTGATACATGAGGTGATAGGGATTTATTTCCCGGTAGAGAATCTGCTACACCGGTTATACTGAGGAGGCTATTCAACCAATGTGGGAAATTTAACAAATAGATGAGTAGGAGTTCTTTATGGCGTATTGTATCATGGAATAGCTTCATTTTTCGTGTGACTGAATTAGCTAAAACCAGAGATAACTTTTTGGTTAGTTAATCCACAAATCTACACTGCATGGTCAAAAAAAAAATACATGGTTAAAAAATACACCTGGCTTTGAGCACAGGCGAGTCTTGTTGAAACAGAAAAGACCGGTATGTCCACATACTTTTGGCTATAAACTGTATATTTATATTGTAACCTATATCTCTAAAAATAGATCTAAAGTGAATGAGGATTGTTTTTATCACCCAGCCCTGAGATTGTTTGTATCCAGCAATAAGCTGGTGGGTGCTGTGCGACCAGGTTCTATTTTTGCTGGTATTTATAGATGCTTTATAATCCTCCTCCACTCTTCTTACTGACTCTTCTTTTGTCACTGGCTCTCCTCCTCCTCCTCCTCTCACTTTCTTCCTCTTATTCATCCTACAGAGACGAGAGTCTGATTTCAGCACCGCCATTTAAGCTACTCCAATTCACCCTCATAACCTGACATCTTATCAACAAAGCCTAAAAATACAAAAGCTGAGTGATACATGATCTGCTGTGACTCAGCTTTTAGCATGTCTTTTAACTTGGGGTTGCGGTTTGCCACATAAGCCAATAAAACACAAAGCGCCAGAGAAAGTTTTCCTTTTTACCTGTTCAGCAAAACAAAAAGACATGTTGTCACTCAATAGACTTGGGCAGTGATTCTTTTCACAGAATCAGTTCCTTCGAGTTGATACATGTAACTGTATATAACCGTTCCAGTTTTAATCCTTCTTGCAAAATATGGGGTGAGTTTCTCCACGACAGCTATAGTTATAGTTACAGTTATAGTATATGCATGTTCAACAGTTAGTGCTGCCTGCCCCACAAAAGTGATGGGTAAAAAAAAGATGCAAACGATTCTTTTTAGTGTCCAAGTCAGCCTGTCAAAGTTACTGAGTGCAGTCTCGACTCTCGGTGTGAGTGAGTGAGTGAGTGAGTGAGTGAGTGAGTGAGTGAGGGAGTATAGCTGCCAGGCTCTGGACTGAGTGCTGGACTTGACTTGAGTCACTCAGTAATGTCCTTGTTTGCGTCAATGATTCTGTTCTTTCATTGGTCCAGCTTTCTATATATTGAGCGACTGCACCACCGTTGCAGGCAGCGTGAGCAGTGACCTACGTTGACATTTGGCGAACCATGTCTTCCTTGAGCAGTGAGCACTCGGTACGTTGGACAGGCTGACCTGGTAGATACTAGACGCTAAATACAGTCGTGGTGCAATACAGTGCCGAACTCTGGACTGGGTGCTGGAACTTAAACACTAAAAATAGTTAGTTAGTTCAAGAAGATTTGTTGTCTCATTTTTGCCCATCACTACCACTCACCACTAGGAGTAATCAAATGTAGATTGGTTGTACGTGGCGGTGCAGGTTTTGAGAGATCTGTGAGATTTCTGCCTCTATCCCAATACAAAGAAGGTGTGTATTTGTGTTGCTCAAAGCACTGGCAATGAACAAGTCGAGTCCTGGTTACTTTGGTTAATCCAAAATTCTCACTGAACAGTTTTCATTTTCTTTTCCTTCCAAAAAGTATTCAAGTTAAAATTGTTAAGAAGGTGACCAGTGGATTATCCAGTGTAGTCAGTACATTAGGTGCACCTCCCCAGCAGGGCAAGTTGAAGACTCGTGAGGTAAAAGTGTATGATGGTCTTCTGATGGCTCAACTTTGTGTTTTTTCTATTCATACAGAAAGCAAACCAAATTATCACCTTGGGTCATTTATGCAAATTGGACCGTTTTACAGTCTGTGCAAGCAGACTGGACAGACATTATGTATGAACTAGCTAGCAACAGACTAGATAGAGACCTGTGTTTGGAAGGATGCCTGTGTGTCTGTGGCATCTCAGAAGCCGACTGAACCAGAAACTCAGTTCTGTCTGTTATGTCTCTCCAGTCTCTCTCCTTTTATCTCTCGTTTATGTGCGTCTATGAAACAAATTCATAAGAGTGATTTTATTTGGTCTTAGTAAATTAAGTTGCACTGACACGTCTTCGTGGCACTTCACACCGCCCCCAGGCAAATTAGTATCTTCATCTCCTTCCATTGACTTTGTCTGCAGTTGCACTTCTAAAATTCGCATTGGTTGCATATACAGTAACTAAAAGTAAACATGGGGAATATGATGACCAGGGTGGGGATGACCTTGCCTTAGCACATATAAGCGCGTTTTCCAACCCATCTCCCCTCTCACCTGAGCATCCTCCCGCAGGTCCGCTGCCTCTTTGAGGGGGGCACTAGCCGGTTTGAAAGTCTCATCCACCACCTTGATGCCAGTGTGCCTCAGTGTGACGTACTCCCGCCCTCGCCTCCCCACCCTCCTCACCGACAGACCTCGGCGCTGGGCCTTCCCGCCTCCTCGCCGGTTGGTGACCGCCACGTGGACAAAGAGGCTTGTGTGGGGTAAGGGGTCTCCTGCCAAGCCCAGCAGGGGCACATTGCGGTAGCCGGGCTGAAGGCACTCAAAGGCCACGCTGTACTGGCCAATGAAATCATCTCCAATGTAGTCGTCGTCCAATACCACGAAGCGAAGCAAGGCCAGCTCCGGCATGTTTACCTGGAGACAAGAAATGAACAATGAAGTTAAAATCCATTCACGCTGCCTCTGAAGACTGGAATCATTTAAATGTTACAGAACCCGTTAGAAATTATTATATATAATATGACGTTTGAATATAGGGAAGGAAACGTGAATACATGTAATGACATCTGACGTCATCAAGGTACCGGTGCCATGTTGTGTTTTCGATGTGTAATATTTTTGGGAATGGATGATGCTGCTAGTAATGTGTCACTATGAATGAGTCAGCACAAAATCTAGTAGCAGCTATCCTAAGTAAGGAAGAGACCATTAACACCCTGGTGCATGCACAGGCCAAAAAGATCCTGGTTACCATATTCAGTACTGTACTGCTTATGAGGTAAACCTTATTAACTAACACAGAAAGAAACACAGGTCCGAGTACATTTTCTACGTTTGTTTACTGGTTAATTGGTTTGTTTATTGTTTATTGTAAGTCCAGAGTGGTAAAACCAAGAAAATGACCCTTGTTACTTTATTATTATGTTATGTTCTTATTTTATTAACCGCCTTTGAGGCTTCCTCTGTATTGACTGCACTGCATCTTATCTAAGCCAACTAGCTAGCTAACTTAAGATGTGACTATCTAAGTACAGGAAAGAAGACCATTTGTCAGGGTCTAAAAAGGGGCAGGACTTAGGAAGGGTGATCAGTATTATTTTAGCATTCGTGCAGGGTGTTAACTATGTCTTCATTACTTTGGATTGCTACTACTAGATCTCGAGCTGACTTGCTCATAGTGACACACTTCTTGCAACAACATCCGTATGGAATAATATTACACATTGAAAACACAAGATGGGGCCAGTGGTTTAATTTCATTGTGGAGCTTCCTTTGAAAATCCAATCTGTTATTTATATCTCAGAACACACAGTGCCACAATACATTGCACTGCCAGAATGAACATCATTTGATTATCCAGGCTTTTAAAAGTTTAATGTTTTGTCACCTAAACAGCATTTAAATGTATCTGTATATTATTTATCTGCTCTTTAGAATAATCACTTATTATATAATATTATTAAGTGTCACTCGTGGAGCAATTAAGGCACAGCATTAATGTTAATTAGTCAGGAAGAATCAAAGGTGCATTGTGGTGCTGCTGCAGAGGGGAAATGCTGGTTGAAATGTTATATTTCAGATCACACCTTCACAGGCCTTTACCTTCCATTCGGCTAATAAGGCTGTAAACAACCGTACATGTATGCACACACACAGAAATACATGCACACGCAGAGTAAGTGGGAGGACAAATAATGATAGGAGTGTGTCTCTGCATATTCATTCTGTGCAGAGGAACAGAGAGTAAACACATTTAACAATAAAATATAATCAGCTAATGTCTGTTTTCCTCTTCACAAAGCCTGGTACAACACACACACACACACACACACACACACACACACAGATAGATATCTGTTTGTTTATAGGAGAAAACAGTATCAATCAATCATTTCCTACAGAGAACGAGAATAAACTTGCCCCAGGGAGTGTGTATGTGCATATGTGTGTGTGTGTGTGTGTGTGTGTGTGTGTGTGTGTGTGTGTGTGTGTGTGTGCGTGTGTGTGTGTTCGTGCACATGCATCCACACCAATGAAAATATCTGAAGTCTTCAGGCTCAGAAGGAAATAAACAAGCAGCACACTTGAGACATTGAACCCCCCACGAATATTGAGATTACACTTTGCATGTATCTGAGTTTGTGTCTGTGCATGTGTTTTATCACTTCTGTTTAATTTAAACGACTGCTGTTAGCAGATAGCAAATGTTCTGTAGGCAACGAGGGGAGCGCAACAGTGAAGACACTTGTTGAACCAGCCGTTATATATTTGGTTCAAGATTTCTATTCATGGAACTCGGTAGCTGTGTCCCAACTCAGGGTCCACAGGTCTTAGAAGGACACGTCTTAGGGCAAAACTGTAGCCTTCGGAGGACTGAGTCTTAGCCTTCCCCTAAAATGAGACTGTCTAGCCTCAGAAAACTACACAGCATTACACAGCACTGCAGCTGCACTTGCATCAGCAGGGCTAAAAGTGTTTCATTGTTGCCTCAGAATCAGTGGCCTATTGATACATTAGCTAATTAGCAGCTACTAGCTGACTAGTAGTGCTGTTAAAACTGCCCAAAAAAGACACATATTACTAATACTAATCAATTATCTATTTTTGGGCAAAACATAACAAAAAAGAATTTTTAAGCATTACAGGGTTGTCATGATATTAAACATCAGCACACTGAACATGTAGGCCTATCTACTCACTAGTCTGCCTTTACAGCCTGGAGCTCGCCTCGTGCTCTTGCAAACATTTATGAATCAAACTTTAATTACAGGATTTAATTACAAAGGTGGAAGTTTAGTGGTGGTGACGTTGAAGTCAAGCGACTGTGGAGTAGTTCGTTTTTAGCCTAACATTAACTTTTTGGCGATCACATTTAGGCCTCAAAATTTGTAAAAGTGGTGTTCATTTGTGAAGATTATTTTACTAAACAAAATGTGTATCACTAACCTTTGTTCACCACAGAGCTTATTTTCTACAATAATCCAAAATCCGATTAGCTTTTTGTCTAAGGAACCAGGACGATGTAATGCTTTATAAATACGTGAGTCTATTCTGATGTGAGGGAAAAGCTGGTGATGGATGAAGGAGCAGAGAACATGTCACACTGACTGAACAAGGACTGCACTACTATAAAGAATAGTTGTGTGTGTGTGCATGTACGTGTGCACACATGTGTGTTTATGTGTCCCCATTCCTATAAGGCCTGAGTGGTGGTGGTGGGGGGGGGACTGAAGTGTCATGCATGGGCAAGTCAGACAGATAGCTCCGGCAGACTGGGTGTGTGTGTGTGTGTGTGTGTGTGTGTGTGTGTGTGTGTGTGTGTGTGTGTGTGTGCGTGTGTGTGTGCGTGTGCACACCGAATGATGACTCCAATCCAATTCTCAATTTTTCAGCAACAAGCCTGTGGCTGAGCAGAAAAGCTCTGTGACAGTTAATTCAATCAGTTTCAAACCAAATGCTCTTCTGAAAAAGCAGAAAATGAGGCACAGGACACTACTGTTCCACAGAATGATTCTCTGCTCTTACATTATCCTTACATATGGTTCCATCAGGTCACAGTTCAGTATGACGGATGATACTGTGTTCACAGTTCAGTGCACTCACAAAAATTAATGATGACTGTAGATATTTTTTTTACATTTGCAAGTTTGAAGGAAAAAACATCTAGATGAGACTGTGCCTATTAAGATAGAGAGTGAATGTCTGAACTGGCCTTGCAAAAACTATTTAAACATCTTCAACAATTGATTCCATCCAGTATTTCTGGACCAAAAAAAAGAGCTTGTCAACAGGCATGTTGAGACCAGTGGCAGTGTAAAATGTTAATGTATTGTAATTTAAGTGCACCGTCTGGCTTTTAGAAGAGTACACTCCACCTATTGAACATTATGCTCCAATCACATCGTCCTTCACTGCTGTCCTTCATTGGATTCATAAAGGACAGCTTAAAAAACTAAACAAAACAACAAAATCGATGCAGCAGAACCAGTCTTATTTACTCCACAAAGTCTTCTTTCCAGACTTTTTTGACTTATTCAGGAGTGGCCAGACGTATGTGTCTCAGCTTTCCAGTCATTCATAATTTCTGCATTTTCAATACTGTTTATGGTCCACAGTCTGCAGAATTATTCCAATACACTAGGCAAAAATTACACATTTGTACCACAAGCTTGTTGGAATCCTTTCGAATGAAATACAGCCGCACTTTAGACCATTTAGCTCGGCATTTTAACCATCTTTAAGGTAGCTACTAGCTAGCAGTAGGCTACCTGCTGCCAGAGCCATGTAGAGAAACAGTTGCTGTAACGTTAACACGTGATGGAACATGTGTGATGCCTCTGTTGCCTGGATTGTCTGCACCAGAGGAAAACTATTCCAATAGACAACTCTGGTACTAAAAGGAGGCACCAGAATCTACGTTATGATTCAGTCCGGTAGCTACCGGTCCTGTCGGAACCAGTGCTATATTGGCACTGTGTTTCAGTACCCAACCCTAGTAGCGGCTACTGTAGCCTTGAGCCTCTAGTCTGCAACAGAGATAAGGAGTGGGCTTCACAGGTGTTTTAGGCTCACTTCTATCTAACTCCACACCCGCAGATTATTTTTTTCAGACTTGTAGTCTTCAGCCTCAACCTGAGTCTTAGACTTTATTCAACTTCACATATGCAGTAGTACCTCAGTAAGACCTGTAAAAGGACTTAATGTGTAAAATCCCCTTTAATGTACTGATAAGAATTAGCTCATCCATTATAATCCATCCATTTTCAGTTCCATGATGCACATCATCACATATTTGTTTCACAAAATACTGCATCATAATATACTGTAACACCCGTATTACACACACTTAATGTGTGTTTTATGAGACAGCTGAGACACTGGTTTTCATCAGGGCTTAAGAAGATGGCTATTGTTAGCTTGCACTGTAAGTGTGTGTAAGTGTATATGTGTGTGTTCAGGAAGTGTGTGCTGATGTGGCTGCGCTGTGCCTGAACTTGGATGGCAATGCCTGGAGGAGAAATAATTAAGACATATGAGAGCATGCTTCAGAGGGCTGATACGCACACTTAACCAAACAGCATGACCTCGACTGTGCCAGTGTGTCTTTGTGTGGTTCTTTGCCTTTTCTTACGAGTGTGTTTCCTTTTACCCATGTGTGACATGGCACAGTGCCCTCCAGTTACCCCACTTGGCTTTGTAACTTTGGTTACAATCCACAAGGCCAATGAGACTTTGCTCGTATGGTTTTATTCCTTCTTGTACATTGTGTGCATGTTTTAATTGGTCTGAAGCAGGAGAATTAAAACGCAAGTGTGAACACAACCAAAGTTCCTTAAATTGAATACTCAAATGGAGTTATACAGTGAAAAAAAGTCCCCCTCCAGTCAGAAACCAGTGTTTGTTGTAGTTCCTACAGTGTGCTGTTTGAATGCTGTCTGTGCAGAGTTTGACACTAGAAGGATGTTTTCACATTCATCTGCTGAAAGTGGAAAGTTTCTCTGAGCTCATTGAAAATCTGATTTTAGGGGGCAGGCCCTACCAGCAGGATTTGTGACATCACAAATAGTCAGGAAGTCAGTCCTGGTCCAGTATCAACTTGTACAGTGTGATGTAGAAACTTGAAGCCACCGGTGCACAGCCACTGAGAATGGACTTTACAGTGAAGTAGGAGACAGGTTTGTAATGAGCTAATAGGAGGAGATGACTTTATAATAGGGCTGGGCGATAAAACGATAACGATATCTATCACGATAGACACGTGATCAACATCAATAGAAAATACATTCGATAGAATGTTCAATAATTTCACTTGAACTCCATTAGAGAAAAATAGGAAGAAAACCCCGAGCCAGAACCGCAAGTCATTCTGGGGGATGTAGGCAGAGGAAGGGCTTTAGCCTCTCGACCTATCACGGCCCAGCTAAGCCAGGTTGGTGGCATCAACAACAACAACAACAAAAAGAACGGCGTGGAGTGAAAGGAGAATATGAGTGCGACAGCGCGAGAGGAAATTGTAGATAAAAAAGGAAAGGTCACGTCACCAGTTTGGCAATATTTTGGTTATTTTAAAGTCAGACAAGAGTCAGACCCATGTTGTCTGCAAACTTTGCAAGGTCGTCGTCCCTGCTGAGTCTGGCAACACGACACATTTATTTTATCACCTCAGCCGCTGTCATCCGCTGGAGTACAGCAGCCTCAAAGAGCCACAGCCACAGCCATCGACATCTGCCGGTACAAGTGGAACAACACACAAACGGCAACAGACCACCATCCAGAGGTACACGGCAGCAGTGCCATACGACAAAACATCAAAGCGATATAAAGAAATAACTGATGCAGTGGTGTATCATTTAGCGAAGGACATGCTCAGGTGAAACAGTTTTCCTTGCAGTGAAACATGTTGAGTTGTTTTTGAGTTGTTTTTATAATTTTATGCTGGTTTGATACTGACATATTACTGTTTATTACATGTCAAAGATGTTAGTTCTACCTCAGGTGTACACTCATTTTTTATTTACAAAATACTTTTTGTTGGATTAAGCATTTATTTAATGTCTATATTTGCACATTGACCAGTATGTTTATTTATTTGACTGTTTTTCATAGTTGTGTTGACCTCTTTATAAAGGTTAAAGGTTACGTTTAAAATAAAAGTATTTAAATTCAGCCTTTTTTTCTCCTGGGCCTCATTTAGAATAGGTTAAAAAAACGAATCAATAATTATCGATATCGACGGATATGAAACACTTATATCGTGATACATTTTTCAGCCATATCGCCCTGTCCTACTTTATAAGGATTTTAACATGGAAATTAGACTATTGTTTGCAGAAAAAACATATCAGATACACATTATTGTTCCAAGTAGACTATTTGTATTATGGCTAAATACATGTCTGGAGGGGATCTTTGATTAATTACAACTATGACTCACTTATTGCACATTAGCAGCGGTTGCATTTTGCAAGCACTTTTGTCAGACAGCCAAATTGTGCTTTCAAATGTCACTTTGGGTCTGTCTGCTGCCAAAGAGCCAATGTAATTATAGTCAAATATTCTTTTGAATTACAGGTATTACACAACTCTTTTGCGCACACACACACACACACACACACACACACACACACACACACACACACACACACACACACACACACACACGATGTTGCCACAGAGAACACACCATATCAGTTGTGACAGCTTGTCATTATTCCTCAGATTTACTAATACAGGGCTCTGTCAGTGCAGGCTAAAAAAGCGAAATCAGCAACAACGCAGTCATCAAATCCCATCTCCTATAATACATTTGATGGAGACAGAAGTGAATTCATAGGAGCACCTAATTTAAATCTTGATGGTCTTGCCCCCTCCCACCTCCAATTAAGTATTCTGAGGTTCTATTTTCATGCAGGTGCAAAGCCGCAGAAGAGTACACAGAGACATCTCCAAAATCACATAAGCCTCTTTTATGCTGTTGACATTTCCCTCTTTTGCTTCCCTATTAATGTCTAATCTGGTATTTTAAATGCATATTAAAATAAGATTTTGTGCAATAAAAGCAGAGTCTGTACTGGGCTGGATGATTCTTAACAACATTGCCATCCACAGTATTTTACAGCATCAAGCTATAAGTGCACCAACTTCACTGAACTGGGACATCAGGATGCATCCTAAGCTCTGGGCACATTTTCTTCCTTTAAGAAAAACACCAACTAAACAATTTTCTCTAAAAAATGAAAATAATATTTTTAGTGCTGTAAACAGGATTATTATGAGGAGCTGTCATGCAATTATGTAAATGGATTCAACAGGCTATTGCTTTTCTGAGCTTTTGCTGTATGTAAACAACCTAAATATAACCAAGTGAATGCAACCTTTTAAACACTTAACCTGACTGCAAAGGTCATTTTGTGAACATCATGATGAGTAGGATGTCTCACAAAAGACTCATTTACTTATAGAGGGCTATTTCTGCCCTTTTAAGTATGTTTGAAAAGCTGTTTATATATTTCAGGTTATGTAGTGTATAATAACATATATTAAATATTATGACCTCCCAGGGAAGAACAGTAGCCTACAGTCTCCTCCCGGCCCATTAGGAAAAATGTTGTTTCTTTAAAAGAAAATGAGAAGACTTAATGTGATTCACCATTAATGAACCCAAATCCACCTACCAATAATAAATTCCTCCTTATAACCATGTATTAAAGGGACACTTGACCCCAAAAACAAAAATAAATATTTTTCCTCCTCCCTGTAGTGCTATTTATCCATCTAGATTGTTTTGGTGTGAGTTATGCCCTAATGGGGTAATAATACTAGTGTATTTCTGGAAAATGTTGTTGGTTACCCATGTTAAATAATAATACAAAGTTGATAAAAAAAAAAAAGATAATCCACAGACCTTGTTGTGAGAGCAGCTTCATGTAGCAACTATTTTCTTTCTACCTATCACTGCACAGAAGCAAATGTGCTACTCATGGAGAAGAGTGTAAAAGTTAATAATGACTTACTTGGCTAAACTAGCTCCAAAATGCATGCTTCCTCCTGTAAAAGGATACGGTTGGTGGGTGTAGTTTGGTAGAAAGAAAATAATTCCTACATGAAACTGCTCACAACAAGATCTGGTTCATGGTTTCTGGAAAGAGTCATTGCTGTTCAATCTTTCAAATGTCATTTTTGGCACTTTGATTTCCCCAGAACTACGCAAAACAATGTAATTGGATAAATAGCACTACAGGGAATGGGAAACAGGTATATTTGATTTTGGGGTGAACTGCCCCTTTAAGGCTGTGTCATGCCCTACTCAGGATTGTACTGTTGGGTGCCAAACTTGCAATCGCCTTCTGGTCCGCCAACATTAGTCAACATACTCACCTTCATTTGTACCCAAAGCTTGAGCATTTTCCCAGTTTCATATCAGTAATTACATCATTAATTACAAAGTGAAAATTAAAATAAACTCACAAATAGAGCCTTAAAAGAGCCGTAAACAAACAGACCAGCATCTGCTCCATTGAACAGAAGCGCACAGTTGTGCCTTACTTGAAACTCAAAGGTCTCATCAAACAGTGGGTCGTCCTGGTTCTGGGCAGCAGTGCGGGTCCGCTGTTCGGCACAGTCTGCTGGTACGCCATGCAGCTCCAGAACGACGTACGGGTCAATGACCTCTCCCTTAGCCCCTGATCCCAGAGGCTTGGGCAGATTATGGGCACTGATAACCTGTACAGAACGCAAAGCAGTTGATGTTAAATTAATTCATTGATTGCATTTTTCGGAAGAATATATCTCAAAACCAAATGTTTCAATCTAAATGAAAGAACACCTTAATCCGCAGAGTTTGGGGTGGCACTCCTGGCATACAGCCCTGAGTATGGGCACTGAAATATGACACCTCGTCCCTCATTACAGCAGGTCGGAGAACATAACCACACCCTCCGTTCTGTGAGAAGCGACCTCTGTGTAGGTCCAACATGGCGCCGGGAGTCTGCTGGTTTAAGGCCACGAGCTGGACCCCTCCTTTCCAGTATCCTTGAGGGTTGGGGTTACTGGAGTCCAGACGCACTGAACTGGGTCGTACCCTGGTTAGGGTGCGCTTGGTGAACATTACAAGGTCTTCTGGGCTCTCCGTGGTCAGTCGCCCGGCCTCTCCTTCACCCAGGGAGCAAAGTGTCCAATAAGGCGGCTCAGGAGGCATTGGTGTGCTGGGAGAGGACGGGCTGCTGGGTGGGGACTGCTGCTGAGACAGTTTGTGACTGGCTCTCTGAGCATAGAAGCTGCGGCTGCCCGTCCGAGCTATAGCCACCAGGTCTGACAGCTCTTTGTGGAGGCGGAGCTTTCTGGGTTGAGAGGGTGGAGGCACCACCAGGACCACACCCAGTTCTTCCTCACCAGGGATGGTCATTCGCCGTCCCGCCAGAGGCCCCCCTCCTCCTATCTCCTCATCCTCCTCAGATATCTCCCCATCAGAGCCCTCCTGCTCTGGAGGCAGCTTCTTCCCCACTATTAGGATGCGTCCCTTTAGCTGCTCGGGGGAGGGTAAGGTTGTGGCTCTCCCTCCTAGGCTGACAGGCAGGGCCTCTGGAGTGTAAAGACGGGAGCCGAACACTTTCTTCAGGTGCTGTGCCATGGTGCGCTGCTGGGCAGGAGAGCAACGCTGGCATAAGTACAGCAAGAGTGGGTACTGAGAGGTCAGGAAGGCATACTTATTGACCACCTCCAGAGCAGAGCGGATAGTGACAGGTGTGTGGTGGTGGTGATGGTGGTGGTGGTGATGATGGTGGCGGGGGATATCTGGACCATAGTCGACCCCAAGAAGAGGCTCCCCCTCTGGGCCGTCAGTCACCCCCAGCTCCAAGCATCGGCAGCCGGACTGCAGGGCCTTGATCAAGCCTCCTAGGTCTGCCCTGCCGTGGACCTGGTCATCCAGCAAGTAGGAGCGGTACGAGGTGCTGAGGAGAAAAAATCAACAACACTACTTATACACTAATCCAAATAAAAGCCTGCTTCTAAATTGTGTTTTAAAGCAGTGGGTCCAAACCAAAAGGGACCCCTTTCTGTCATTTAGTAAACTGACGACCGCTACTTAATTGACATATATTTTATGTATTTTAAAATTTCAAATTCCAAACTGTACAATCCAAAGAGTAAGCTCAGTAATAACTGCAGGAAGTTTGTGTAAAACGAGTTATTAGGACAAATTTTGAGCACATTATTTCCTGTTTAGGGAACTTTTTAAAATAATTTTCAAACAATTATTCATACTAAATTGCTTTTTTTTTCTTAAATGTTTTTCTCCCCGACACTTGGCCCTTGTTCGATCAGTCAGTTGACTTTACTTTACATTTGCATTACAAGAAAGCCTAACCCCCCCGTGAAGCTTTGGCGACCCCTAGGTTGTGAACCACTGCTTTAAAGTATTATAGTGACAGCTGAAAATATTTGACTGTGTCCGAGAAGAGGAAAAAATATGTACTGATACATAAAGTGACAACTTCTCAATAATCACTGGCTAACACAGTTTAATCAAAAAATGAAAGGCACATTCCTACCCAACATGTTGCTGGGCAGTGGAGTACAGTTTCAAAGACGCAATAGTGTCACAATCTGTCCAATTTAATATGTACATTTTTCTCAAATGTTTGTTTTTATGTTGGCATGCAGAGCACAGTGAGTAAGCAGAGCCATCTGGCAGATGAATGGACACGCTTAGAAAGGGACTGTTGAATGAATGATTTCAGATAGTTAGCTATGTTTGACAGTTTACGGAGTAGTGGCTCTGTCCTATTTGGTTTTGGGGAAGTTTACATGTGAGCGACTTTACGGTGAGCTCTGATATGATCATCCAGGACTGGTTTCCACACAGTGGATGCACAAAGTAACAGACTTAGCTTATGCTAAGCTTCTTGGCTTGGTAAGTAACACGAATGCTAGGTTGATATTAGCTGAACATGCTAATGTTTGCAGCCTACGTTAGAACAGCCAAACACATCCTTCCAGTCCTTATACAGGTAATGCTCAATGACTCAAAGTACCCTCATTCATTTTAATGGTACTGCGAGATTAACTTCTATGTTTGTATGTTTGGCAGTTATATAAATGTCAGTGGAATTTCGACTAATTGACCCTTACCCTTCCTGATGGTAAAAAGATATAAGTGACATATATATAGTCGCATCTTAAGTCACTTAACTAGCTAGCTAATCTACATAAGGCGTTAGCTGGCTAGTTAGCTTGTGTTTTGTTACAGAGTAAAAAGGGTAATTAGCTAGCTTGATGTACATTAGCTAACTAAAGTTGTGACTACATACTGTAGATAGATAGATAGATAGATAGATAGATAGATAGATAGATAGATAGATAGATAGATACTTTATTTATCCCGAGGTAAATTCCAGACCCAAAATGAATGTAAAATAATTTAAAAACTCATGATCAATGATCTTTTCACCATAGACAAGCCTAGCACATTGCCTATCTAAGGGGCTTAGGAAGGGTCGATTGTGGATAAAGTTATTTTGAACGGCTCTAATTAGACTAACATGTGACATGCACCTGATGTAGTAGTGGGACAGAGGCATGTTCATGTCCTGACAAACTCCCAGGTGCTCCGGGTCAAGCAGCTGGCACTCTGGAGACTGCAGGTAACGGGCGAATCCATCCAAACCCAGCAGCCCCCTCTCCCGGCCCTGGGCCGAGGGCTCACAGCGCCTCAGAAGCTCCCAGCAGCCCTCGGTTGTCACCAGAGACAAACCCTGCTCCGTCTCCAAGAAGAGGCGCAGGTCCTGAGGGTCCAGACACTCGCGGTCCTTCGACAGTTGCACCAATAAGAAGTAGACGTCAGGCCGGGTGCAAAGCTCACAGTAGGCCTCCTGGAACTCCTCGCGTGTCACATGGGAGGTCAGCTTCTCCTTGCTGCGCTGGATCTCCTTAAAACGCAGGCGGACCTGAGGAAAGAGGAAATGGATGAAAGAGAGGATCAGGCAGGACGGACAGTTTATTGAGCCAGAGAGGAAGTCGGTTAATTAGCCACAGTTAATTCTTGTTTATTCAATGAAGCTGGTATGTTTGATTAAACTTTAGTAATCTTGTTTCAGAAAGGATATTAAAAGTGACCCTTCTGTCCTCTCTCCATCTCCAACTTCCTTTCCTTCCTCTTTTTTTCTTTCTTCTGCTTCCCCTTCCTTCTTCTCTCGTCGTTTCATCTTGCTCTGTGCTCAGCCCATGCTTCTAAAAATCTTCCCTCTCTGATATCATCTTGGTGAACTCAGTGTGTCTGAGTTCTTGCAGGTTCGTCAGCAGTCATGTCACCTGTCTGAGCCAATATACACTTCTACACTCTCTTTGTTTCCAGGGTAATTCAGTCCCTCTCTGTCTGGCCGGCTGTTGAGGCAGCAGGTGATAGAGGAGGAGGAAATTGGGAGAAGTAAGTAATTAATGTTGTGCTGCTTCAAATACAGGAACAAACCATTGTCCAGGAAACATGCTGCTCCTGCTGCGGCTGTAGCTGAGGTGAATGGAGACTTTTAATCACATGCTGTTTTTGACAGTCATGATGACTTTGCTTTCTTCCAAAATGGTGAATATCGAAGCTTTGTTCATATAAGACAGCTAGGTAGCTGTGTTTAAGCTTAATGCTAAAACATATTACTTGGTTAAATCGGGCAACATAAGCAGGCAAGCTGTGTATGAACAGTCTTTCTCTGCAATCAATTTTTAATTTACGGCACATGAAAACCTTACTGTAAACATTAGTACTAATCATTATTTCAGTTTTCCTGAGAATACATAAATCAGACATATTCTGTCTCTACTGCAATCAAAAATACAATAATTATGTGTAAAAATACCAAGTGTAACACAAACAACAGTATAAGAGCTTTTTTCAGGCAGGGTTTCTGCAGGTTACAACAGGTTGAATTTAAGACCTTTTTAAGACCTGTATGAATGTAATTTAAGATCTATTTTGCATCTGTACAAGCCCCCCCCAACACCCTGTCAGGGATTATAGTGAATAGTCAGCTGCTCATTGCATTTTTCCTTCATATATCCAGAAGTATTCTCTAGTAGGAATCTCTATAATCTTGGGCTTTGTCAGAACACATCAAGGTGTAAATTAAACTTGGTTAAAAAACAAAGAACTGGTCCTAACATGTAACAGGATCTACCGGCAGAAATGGAATGTAATATTCATAGGTATGTTTTCATTAATGTATAATCACCTGAAAATAATAATTGTTGTGTTATCGTTACTACAGAATGACCCGTGTCCTCTTATATGGAGTCTGCCATTTTGAACCGCCATGTTTCTACAGTAGCCCAGAACAAACCAAACACTCTAGACAGGGACTTCTGCATTTTTCACAGCCACCGTAGTTTCTCCTAGGGTCCGAAGTTACGCTGCATTCACATTGGTTCAGGCAAACAGTAGACAGCAAATCAGATGTCACCAGAACGGTAACAGTAGACGACATCCAAAGTAAAATATTGTACGTTTTTTAAAACCGTCAGGATGGCAAACAAGGAGAAGACATGGGGCTATCTGGATACTGAGATGCTTATAATTAAATAATTACATAAAACATTATACACAAATAAAATAATATTATTTAATATATTTTATTAAATGTTTTGTAACAACATCATATTGTCAACAACATATCGTCATGCGTTTTGCAGTCCTGCCATTCCATCGGACTGTTGGTTTGTTTCTCCGGTGCTGTGAGAAAGGTCACTTGCTCCCACATAATGCTGCATTCACATGGATTCAGACAGAGCTCCCATAAGAAGGGGTCTGAGCTTCAATGAAAGCAGTAAAATCATGTACGTGTGGTCGCTAATACACTACCAACCACTTTTATTTTAATATTAGTATTATATCTCTCTCTATTGACTGCTTGCTTTCTAGTAGATTTACAACTCACAAAAAGTAATTCTGCATCCTCCCACTAGTGGAGTGTTACATAGGATAGGGCACTGTGCACCCACAGTCAGCAGTGCATAAAAAATAACAACACCTACTGACATATGAAACCAAAAAGGGCGGAAATGTGTTCCCTCAGTTGGCATATTTCAGGCTATTGAAACTGTTGCAGTACTGAGGGCAATTTTGGGTTGTTGCAATCAACTTGATTTAGTTGTTGCAAGCAGTGGGCTACTGTGTGTGTGTGTGTGTGTGTGTGTGTGTGTGTGTGTGTGTGTGTGTGTGTGTGTGTGTGTGTGTGTGTGTGTGTGAGAAAGTGTTGGACCACATAACGACCGGTGAAGCCTCTCTCTGTCTGTCTCTCGGAAAGCACGCCTCTTAGACAATTCTTTATTTATATCTGCCCCTAACTCTGCTTATTTTAGAGTCCCCCAAACAGCTCAGCTTATAACTGGAACCATGCTTCAAACCAAGAGGACAGAAGTGATTTTCTGCCATGTCATTTTGTTCTGACCTTTCTATTCTGAGCTCTTCTGGTAGCTCTTTACTTGATTTTAAACCTGCAATAACTGATTTTTGATGCCGTTTTGGGGCAGCGGAGACAAGCTGTGAACACAACATTGACATATCATCACCTTAAGAGTTGATATGGTGGTCATTTCACATCCAGCAGTTAATTACCAGCAGTTAATCATGATTAATTTGCAGTCATGTTTCTGGCCACCTGATGAATGTAAGACACTCAAATGCAACCAGCAATCCCGTCTTTTTGGACGCAATTATCATTTTGCCAATGTGCAGCACTCAGGTCTGCAGGAATCATTTGCATAAAGGCCTGTGATTTTAAATCATTCTGTACTTAACCATAAGATCCTTCCTCACCTTGGCCTCCTTGATACCGGGGCACAGTTTACAGATGGTGGCAACTGCCACGTCCTCTGACACAATGCCGTAGCCGTCTTCATCCACCTGGGCGATTTCTGCTGCCAGCCACTCACTCCTCATCTTGCCTCCCAGACTGCCCTCTACAGCCACACCACCCCCTTCACCCAGCCCTCCACCACCTCCCCCAGCCGCCCCGATGACTGAGGGGTGGGCCAACAGGTAGCGAAGGCCGGTCACCCAGATGTTGGCCACATCTGCCGACAATGCAACCAAGTCCAGAGACTGTGGGGAGGGATAGATAATAAAAATGACTGGGTGGATGGATAACTAACTAAGATTATTCACTCTGGATGTCTCAACATTAACATGGTACCTGGTAGTCATCCCCATGTATGATGGAGAAGGCTGCTTCCTCAGCCAGGTGTTCAGAGAGAGGACCGTTATGGATGAACGTCTCGGTGCTCTTTCCGGTACGGACCTCCCGGATGCTGGAGACGTCCAGTCGAGCCCGGTCCCCGTCTTTCTTAGACGGCTCCCAGCGTAAGCAGCTGAGGTCTAGTTCCAGGGTGTAGAAACGGCAGTAAACCCGGGAATTGGGTCGGATCTTCTTCAGCTCACACCCGCCCTGCATAAACGCCAAGCAGTCTGCGGCACTGCTCACCTGGGACAGAAAATCAACTCCAACTTTATGATCCATTTTCAGTATGACAGAATTTTAGGTTTTTATAGATTTGTATATAATGTAATTCAATTATATTCATCTACCTTCTTCTCAGAGGGCATGCTACTGAAGGACACAGTCTTCTTCCTGCCTCCGCCCACCTTCTGCACTGAGGGATCCTGGGAAAAGACAAAGACAGATGGCCAAGAGGTCAAAATGAGAAGAAGAACTTGTACATGTTAAGAGGAACAGCAGACTTAAAATACACTCAACACACCCTTGGTCTCTATAGTTAGTGTATTTAAAAGCTATCTAGCAATTAAAATTATAAGATCTCTGTAAAAAGGCAGTTTTTGTTGTTTTTGGAAGCAACATATCTTTGTATATTAAATAGATTAGTAGATTTGAGACCATTTCAGTGTGAAAAACATGAAAAACAACAATCTCATAGCGTGGTGTGACCTCAGTAAATCCATACTAAATCAACTTGTTAACACGTCACCTCCTCTTATTTATGCAATTCTCCCAATGAGGAGAGGTGCACCTTGCAGACACGTAACCTGGTGTGCTTGTTTGATAAATACAGCAAACTGCGAAACATCTGGCCCTCGATATCTTTGGGTTTTGGACCTGCATGGACAAAACGATCCATTTAAATATGTCAACTAGGTGTCAAGGGAAATTGTGATACATTTTATGCCATTTTATAGACCCAACAATTAACAAATGAAACAATAAAAAAATTCATTGAGAAAATAATCAGCAGATTAATTACTAATGAAAATGTTGTTTGCAGCCCTATTTTTAACTTGCAAGGCCTTGATTGCAAGATCATGAAATCATGAGAACAGGAGAGAATCCGTCTTGCCAGGCTTCAAGCTATGCATGTGTCCAACCACAATGGTTCGGACCAATCAGAGTCCTATGAGAAACCATTGGAAGCTACAGCACGAGCTACGGGTGTGGTTTAACATTGGGTGTGTGAGAAGTGACTGTTTGCTCAAAAACAACAATGGCAGCTGCTAAAGAGGTTAGCGTAGATGTTGCTAGCATCAGTTCTATCAGATGAGCAAAGAACAGCACTGAAGGCTTTTCTCCATGGGTACGGTAAGAGTGTTATATGGTTCATTGATCTGATTGGTTGGCTATTGATAGATGGTGATAGACAGATGGTTCATCGAATCACCTTTTTGGATGTATTTTTAGTGCCCAATGATGACTTCCCGGATGGTTCTGTGTATCTGCAGTCAGATAAGCCCTATCTGACGGTATTTCTTTTTGACCAAAGGTGAGAGAGGTACAATTCTTATTTTATATATTTCTGGTGAAGCTTAGGGAAACAAATCTCCTTCATAATGCATCCATCCTGGGGATGGATGCACAAGCCAGTGCATTCCTAATTGAGGGCCCAAGCCTGGATAAACAGGCAGGGTCGCGTCAGGAAGGGCATGCAGCGTAAAAAGCTTATGCCAAGTCAAATATGCAGATCTCCATACCGGGTTGGGTGAGGCCTGGTTTGCCCGACAGATGATTCGCTGTGGAAACCCCTACAGGGAGCAGCCAAAGGCAGAGAAAGTATAGAGGACCAGTGCTGTTTTTCTAGATAAGGCGGACCTTTCTTACAGTGCACACACCTGTTTTGTAACCCCGCTAAGATCTCTGCTTCCTGCCTCCGGCTATCTCCAGCCAGTGACAGACTGATTGGCAGCTTTATCTCTGCTCGGTGAGCAAACATCAATGTTAAGTTAACTTTCATTAGCGCTACAGCATGCAAGTTTTACCCCGGTAATAGCTTTTTGCTGATTTGTAATGAGTTAAATGGTCTTAGCTGAAATGACAGCAGTAATTGCAAGTGGCACTGAGTGCCAACAGTTGGCCATGTCTCCCATGTGCAGTCCTTTCCCCAGCTACCTCCATCAGCCAGCAGTGTTTGGTTTGTGCAGATATACTGCACTGATAGACAGAATTAGATATATTTGCTGTAATAATATCTTAAATGGCTTCCGAGGCCTTGAACATGGAAGAAAATAGAATGAAGATAAAGTGGAGGTGATAAAAATACAGATATAACACAGCGTACCAACCAACCCATATACATCCACTCTCACTTCTGTTTTCTCTTTCATACGTGTTGTGAGAGCTGGAATAAAAAATTCTCACTGTTTTGCAACAAAGCAAAAACAATGAAGATAACCCTAGCCCAGTGGGTTTTTTTTTTTTACATTTGCTTTACTTCTTTATTGTTTGGAGCAGTGGTTCCCAACCTTTTACCTTAAAGGACCCCTTTACTATCATTGAGTAAACTGTCGACCCCTGCTTAAGTGACATATTTTATGGATGGAAGAAACCCAAACAATGAACTAAGTAACTGCAAGAAGTTTGTGATAAACGAGTGCGCTGTTTTAACACCAAATAGGGAACTATCATGTTTTATATGTAAGATGTTATGGATGGACAAAGATATTCTTTTCATTTGCCAAAAAGTGTTTCACAGATAACTACATGCAATGGTAGAACATAATTAATAACAATTATTCACATTATAAATTCAGCGGTCGATTATTTTCTCAATTAATTGGTTATTTTTTTGGTCCATAAATTGACAGAAAATAGTAAAAAATGTTGATCACTGTTTGCTTTTTGTTTGTTTGCTTGTCCACAACCCAAAGATATTCAATTTATTGTCATGGAGGACTAAAGAAACTAGAAAATATTCATATTTGAGAAGGTGAAATCAGAGAATCTGGAAATTCTTTCATAAAAAAAGACTCAAAAGGAACGTATTGCTGCTGCTGCTGCTCTGTAAGCCCCAGCATCCACCTGTAGGCTACAGCTAGGGGTTTAAGGTATTTGCTCATCACTCCCCAATATCTGTATGTAAACATATCTGCAGGGAATGATGAGGTCGAAGCCTAGACGCCAAAATCTTAATATGCTATACTGCTGTAATAAACATTTCAAACGTGAGTTAGCTGACTGAACTGTCTTTCTTGGCTCTGATTTGGTTGTTTTTTTCGTTCAGGCCCGGTGGATTTTTTCGCAAATGTGATTAGGAGCACTAGCTCGGCAGCCGCTTTAACCAACTAGTAATTGCAGCTCTAAAAGTAACAGTATAAGTATGTTATTTTACATCATTATGTTGGCAACAGATATAGAGCATATAAAAATTCATTATATCAACCCCATTTTGTGTAGTGGACATCATAAACATGTCATCAATGCAAAATCAACCTCATAAGCAATGGAAAATTTAAAATTAAGAAGAGCCATGAAAGGTGACAAAACAAGGCTGATAAAGTGAGGCCAGGGTCTCCAGGACCCCAAACACAAAATCAGAATGAATCACTTACATACTTTTCATTCTGATCTGTTGTATTCTTCCCCCACTACGCTGTGGTAACAGGTGGTTTCAGATACATCCTCTGAAGTAAGAGGATCTGCCTGTGCTAAATCTCCACTACCAATCACAGACTGAGCTTGTATGTGTCCAGATTTTTCAACATCTGTGTTTTTTCAGCTTTGTATATTAATACCGAGAACACTTTATTGTGCAGCACAGTAAAAACATGTCATCATGATGTCAATTTTGAATGAAGAATCATGCTGCCAACTTTAATCTCATATTGTACATGTATGCAAACTGACATATATTTCCTATACCTTGAGTAATTGTCACCCTGCATGCTTTGTGTTAAAGGTCCAGTGTATAGGATTTAGTGGCATCTAGTGATGTAGCTGCAGATTACAGACCCCTCCCCTCATCCTCCTATTCCAAGTGTGTAGGATACTGGTTCCCAACCTTTTTTTCTTAAGACCCCTTTTCTATCATTGCAAAAACTATGTGACATATTTTATGGATATTTAGGGCCCCAGCACTGATCATGCGAAGGCCCTACTGTAATTGAAGGAATTATTTTTCCTCCCAAACGAACGCATATTTGGAGGCTTTCCCATGCTCAAAAACGCGGCACACATGTCAGTTGTGGCGATACATTTTTTATTTTTCTAGGGGTCCACTGTGAGCATGGCAAAATGGCCCCTCAGGGGCCCATAAACTGTACCACCCGGGGCCATTTTGGATTTAGCGGCCAGTTCTGTCAATTTGCACAAGCTGTATTTGAATGAACTCCTCCTAGAGAATTTAACAGATCGACTTTAGATTTGGACACAGCCATCTAAAGACATTCATGATTGAAAGCTGTGCGATTTACGACATTCCGTCGAACGGTGTGTCCGTGGCGTGGAATTTCAACGACTCGCCATCAAAGAGGGATTTGTAATAACTTCTGAGTACATGATCCGATCTCAACGAAACTTCACATGTATGATAAGAGTCCCGCCCTGAACACGTCTATGTGATAATATTCAGTAATAGTGAGAGCGCCACCTAGTGGTGAAAGGAAATGTCATTTTTTATAATTCCATGTTCTACTCCTAGCAGGATGATCAGATCCAGCTGAAATTCTGTCAGGAAATGCAAAACATGTTGTTGATGATATTTCATGATTGTGGTGAAAACAGTTGAATAAAAAAAGTTGCTATAACTTGAGTGTACATTGTCCATTCGGCTCCAAACTTAATTTGTCTGATGAGAGTCCCGCCATGAAACACATCTATGTGATAATATTCAATAATAGTGAGAGCGCCACCTAGTGGTGAATGGAAATGTAATTTTTATACTTTTATGTATATCTTCCAGCAGATTGACCAGATCCAGCTGAAATTCTTTCAAAAGTTCCTAAGGACGATGACGATGACATCTTATGAATCTGAAGCATTTTTCAAAGAACCACGTTGCCATGGCACCGCAGCGAAAATCAGCTTTTGTGTTAACATTTAAAAAAATACTTAAAAGAAAAAAGAAACATTGCAGTTCAACATGGCTGACCTCTGTAGATAAAAACAGCTAAGGTAACAAGGTAACAATTTATATTTTCAGGTGAGTATACACATAAAACATACCTATGAATATTACATTCCATTTCTGACAATAGATCCTCCTAAATGTTACATACTGGACCTTTATAGTAGACTGTAAATTGTTTTTCTGTTGGCTTCAAATTAGTTTTTTGAATGTGTAAATGTTTCACCTTGTCTTTTGAGTGTGTGAAGGGCTGTGTGACAGACATACAGACATAGCAGTAACCTGACATCATCATCGTCATCAATAATGAACATG